TCTTCCCGCTCCCCCCGAAAATCCCCCCCCATCCGGTCACTGCTTGCATGGTGGTATCTGAGCGTGCCCCCCTCCCCAGTGGCCCCTGTCGTCCCTGCTGGCTCCAACCCAGCAGGGGAGGCTCCCGTGGCGGCACATCCATGTTACCCCTCTGCGTCACTACCCTCTGCAAACACGCCCAGAGTGCTGGCTCCCAGAGGCCCCACCTGTGTTTGTTCGGGCTGAGAACACAGGTGCCCTTCAGACTGACCGGGTGAGGTCAGGCCCACTGTCCACACAGCTCTGGCCAGCAGAACCTTCTACGATGACAGCAGTGTTCTATTTCTGCACTGTCCATATGTGGCTACCGAGCATTGGAAGTGGCCAGTGCGACTGCGAACAGAATGTTCAGCTTTGTTCGGCTCAAGCTAATTTAGATTTAAACAGCCACCTGGTGGATAGGGCGAGTCTCCACCCCCTTGCTCCCCAGTCCCCACTCCTCTCTCGCTCTGAGGACTGTGCAGGGGAGAAGGCTCTCACCCAGGGTCAGAGAGAGACGGGGCACCACCGGGAAGCCTCGGATCGGACCACTCCGCGGGAGGCCCTGTGTGCAACCCCGACTCCATGCTGATCCCGGAAAGCTGGGTAGTGAGCCCAGGACCCATCCAGCTGGGGCTCAGAAAGGGGACACTAAAAGCCTGCCCAGGGACCAGGCTGGAACACCTCATGAGGAGGAGAGGTGGGGCAGGCAGCAAGGGAAAGACGGAAAGACTGGCGGCGTAGGGCTCAGGACAGGCTACAATAGAACAGCTCGGAGAGTCCCAGAGCCACAGACACACAGGCTAGACACACACACCCTTGGTATGAACCAGCTGTCAGCACATAGTTGGCCACGACGGGCAGACAGACATGCACAGAATATGCCAGGCCCCGGAGGGAAGATACCCGGACCCAACAGCAAGGTGCGCACGTGCGTGCACACACACACACACACACACATACACACACACACACACATACACACACACACGAGCGCACACAAGCCCCACAGACACCCAGGGGACCAGGGAGAGAATGGCACAGCAACAAGGCAGGTCAACCAGAGCCGTGAGATGCCACACACAGCAGCAATGTGCACACTTAGATCCCGAGAGGAAACATTCGGGGAGACCAAGGCATGCCAAGGTGTGCGTGTGAATTGGGACAAACTGAAACAGAAAAAGCAGGGAGCCGTTTCGGGGACAGACACCCCGAGGATCAGACGCACACGCACCAGCTGGGAGAACCCGGCCTCGCCTCGACGGCATGAAACACGCCCCCCCCCCCCCCCCCCCCCCCCCCCCCCCCCCCCCCGCCGCCACGCCCGGGGCCGCACCCCGGGGTCCCTCCCAGAGGTGCGGCCGTAGCCACGCACGTGCGCGCGTGCACACAGGGACACACACTCGCGGACACGTGCGCACGCAGACAGGCGCGGGGAGGAAGAGGACACTGAAATAGCTGGAGAGGTAAAGTCAGGTTAAAAATAGAGTGGGACAGGAGGAGAGCGCCAGATTGACTGCTGAAGGTATGAGAAAGTCGGAGTTATTCTGGCCACACCACAGCATCAGCACAGCTGCAAAGCAGCCTGGGTAGATGGTCAGCGCCACGGAAGCTCTCGGAGGTCACAGGACAGAGAGAGACAGAGAGACAAGTGCACAGAGAGGCAGAGGGAGAGGCGGAGGGGCCCGTCACCGGCCCAGGGACATCCCTGTGAGGAGCAGATGGGAGGAAGGAGAGGAGAGAGAGAGAGAGAGAGAGACAGAGAGGCCAAGAAAGGTTAGTCGGAGACTAGTGAAGGAGGCTGCAGGGTGGACAAGGGGACGAGCGAGGCGGCCGAGAGGAGAGGCAGAGAGGAGGCGGGGGACACACACCGGGACAGAGGAAACATGGTGGTTTGGGGGCGAGGAGAGCGATGGGGGTGGCCCAGTCCCCGCCCAGCCCCGCGCCCCACTCAGGTGGGGGTGGGGCCACGGTGGAAACCATTTGGATCCCGAGGAGCAGTGGAAGGGATGGCAGAGAGCATGATGGGATGGATGCAGGGAAGGATGGGTGAAGGCAGCAGGGCATGGGAGCCTGGGGTGGTCCTGGCCTCCTTCCTTCCCTCCCTCCGGGCTTCCAAGAGCATTCTGTTCTTGGGACCCACGGTGCTGAGGCCCGGAGACTGGGAGATCCTGAATGGGGGCTTCCAGGCCACCAAGGATCCTGGGAGGGAGGTAGTGACCAACCTTCCCATCTCCGTGCCGCTTGCTAGATGCACCCCTACCTTGCTTCAAGGGACTCGGAATGGCTGCGCCTCCTGCCGGGGCCCCTCTGCCTCCCAGGAACCCACTGCCGACAGACCCACCCTTCACCCCAGACATCCAGCCAAGGGGTCAGCTGAGTGGGGAAGGGAAGGGTCGGGGGCAGAGGGGCAGACTCTGGGTCTGGAGGCAGAAGCTGAAGAGGAAGAGGCAGCTGACCTGAGCCTCCCATTCCAAGGTCCAAAGGGCCAGGAATCCAGACGAGTGGAGCCCTAAGGCGCTGGGTGGCCCATGGGTGGTGCCAATGCCAATGCCAAGCTTGGGGACGGGGAGAGTGCCGGGAAGGAAGCGCTCCGTTCTGGATACCCTGGCGGGGCCCAATCACCCGGGAAACGCCCCCCCGGAGGCCATGAGATGGAAGGGGTGGGTGTGACCAGGTGGGAATGGCCCGTGTCCACCCGGAAAGTCAGGCAGGGTGGGGGCGAGGGCCCAGGGCCTCCACCTCTACACGCACCTTTCCCAGGAAGGCAGGGACAGCTGATGCAATGATCAGAAGGGATGGGCGTGTTAGACCTACATGGCAAAGAGGTAAAAATAGGCTGTGGGTGGAAATGGAGGCAGCTAATGAACGCATGGGTGATGTGAAATCTCGTTTCCAGCCTGCGTCTGCTCCCTCACGCTTCACACCTTTCCCCAGCAAGGAGCTCGGTTCGCCGCAGGCTTCCAGCCCCCTCCTGCGGCCTCTCATCCGTGCCCCCTGGCCCTCTCCCCTTGGCACTCTGGCCTGCCCGCGGCCCAGCCCAGGACTTCTGTGGCGCCAGGTGGCAGGCTCTGTTCCTCCCGCTCCCCAGGACATGGGCTCGAGGGTTGACACCATCTGTGCCACTGAGGGAAAGAACCGGTCCCGCTCTCCCCTCCCACTCTCTGGGGGTTTCTGGCTGTGTCCACCATAGACATGCAACAGGAAAAAATGAAATGAGAGGGCTGGTCTCCAGAAGTCACCGGAGGGACAGGCAGTCAGCTGTCTAACACTTGGCCTACCTTTTTGTAACCCACAGGCCCCCTGGTGGCAGCCGGGGACAGGTCCTTCCTGCCCTAAGGGCCTCCAGGACCGTCAGGATCCCTGTCGGGTTGACAGGATCAGACGGGTGCCCTCCCCCCACCCCCAGTCCGAAGGTCTGCTCCCTTGTTAGAAGCTTAGCATGTCCAAGCTGGAAGGGGTCACCCTATCCGCTCCTTTATTCAACAGACGAGGAAGCAGAGGCTCAGACAGGGGCAGCGACTTGCCCAAGTTTGCAGAGCAAGGCTCTGGCACCACCAGAGCCAGAAGGGCCGGCATGCTGGCGGTCAGCCCGCACACTGTCCTGCAGGCCTTTGGTCTGACGAGAAGCGGACCTGACCAAGGTGATGAGCCCTCCCTTCACGACTGCAGGTGTGGGGCTGGCCCAGCCCAAGGCCAGGTGATAGGAGGCAGCAGACCAGGTGCAGGATAACCCCGCCGTTGTGATGCTGCCCCAGCCCCGGGACTTCTGAACCCTGCCTCCTTCCCCACGAGTGCCCCGTGAGACAGCAGGCACCCACCACGAGATGCTTCCCTGAGCTCCTGATGGCCAAGACTGTGGACGGCTAGAGGCCCAGCCCTCTGCTCGGCCTGTGCGGTGGCCATACGGGCAACTCCTGGGGACCAGCGGCAGGGCGCCTGGTAACAGGGAGCCTGACCGGCGCCTGCTGGCTGCTCTCGGCCCCTCAGCCCATTCCCTCCTCCTGCTCCCTCAGGTTCAGGGCTGCCTTTCCAGTTCTTTCTGGTCACCAGGCCTCTCCCATGCCCCAGACCCTCCCCACCAGGGGCTTCTCTTCATTCAGCCAAGCAGCTCGGCCACACCTCTGTAAGCACCCCTGCGGCAGGGCGGGGGGTGGGGTGCTACCGTCACCCCAGCGGGATCTCCAGGCAAGAGGGGGGTTGGGGTGGTGGGGATGAGGGAGAACAGGCTGGTGCCCCTTCCCTGCATCCCCCCCGCCCCCCAACCACCAGAGAAACGGGGATTTCGGGGTGGGGGGTAGGGCAGAGATGAAGGATGAGGGGAGGCAAGCAGGGAGATGGGGCAGAAAGGCTGGCTTGCTCCGGGCGAGGGCAAGCGTGCCCAGGGAGCAGGCTTGATCCAGAATGGTCCCAGGACAGCCACACTGGCCTTGGACCCAAGGGACACCCGGGGTGGGGGTGTGGCGCGTGTGAGGGCACCAGCTGGGGAGGGGGCAGTCCTCCCGCTCCAGGATTGCTGAGGGTGCCACCGCCTCGTCCAGCAGCCGGGCCAGGGCTGGTGGAGGCAGGTGGCCTCTCCACGCCTCCATCTTTGCCGCTGCCGCCGCAGGCCCTTGCCTGTGCTCGTACCTCTTGTCCCCCTGAGCGTTCTGGTTCTGCTGGGTTCCTGGGTTTTGCAGGTCAGGGATATTGGCAAAGTCATCCTGTTCCGAAAGCCCTAAGACCAAGGATAGCACCACCATCCTGCCTTCCCTGCCCGAGGTGGGCAGCCCACCGGCCGGCAGGAAACGAGGAGGCCCCGTGGGTGGGGGCGGGGAGGGGGAAAGACAGAGACAGAGACAGACAGAGACAAAGAGAGAGAAGAAAAAAGCGTAAGAAACTGGCCCTGCAGGAGAGAAACCACACTTTAGCACTGTCAACAGTTGTAGAGCAGAGTCGGGGGGAGTCAGGGAGGGAGGGAAAGGATGAGGGGAGGTGTCCGCAGCCCCCAGACCCAGCCTGCCTTGGGAGCGTAGCAAGGTTCTCTGGAGAGAATTGGGGAAGGGGCCGGGCAGAGGCCTGCTGGAAGGCTAGGGGAGGAGAGCACAGGCCCTGGGGGCACGCAGAGGGCCAAGGCCAAGGTTAATTCATCGCCAGCGGAACAAAGGTCAGAGGCTACTTGCTCTGACCATCTGGGCCCCTGGGAGAAGAGGTAGGGGCTCCATTTCCATCTTGCTTTGAGACTGTGCAGGCAGGTTTAGGCTCCCAGATGAGAGGTTCTTAGAAAGCTTGGAAATCCAATGGGCACTGCACCCTGTACTTAGGGAAGCCCCTCGTAAAGACATCTCTGGGTCATGGTCAGCCAGATGTCCTTGATACTGGGAAGGGTCCCTGGACACACAGCCCATCAGAGGAGAATGGAGGTCCCTTCTGGCATACGGTGCGCTGGCCATCACGGGCCTTCTCTTGAGTACCCCCCTTCCTGGAGATCCAGGGAATAACCACCAAGTCTTTTGGGTCCAGTTCTGGGGCCTTTCCCTGGAGAAGCAGTCCAGAAGTCACCAAAAAACAAAGGTGGAGAGAGAGAACGTGCAGGAACCTGGCAAGGTCTGGAGAAGTCCTGCAGACTCGTGTGTGTCGGGAGGAAGGTCTGGAAGAGGCTGTGACCATCCTGCTTTGAGGGAGGCTCAGTCCAGGCAGACAAGGAGCTGCTATGCAGACAGCAGCATGGGGCCAGTGGTCAAGGTGTGACAATTTTCGTATGGGGCACTCTCAGAGAACCCCCGGGTAACTAACTATGGGGTCACCCTGCAATTTCCAGGGCCAAAAAAATGACCTGTTGCCCCTCAAAGCCATCGGAGTTCACGGGCATTTTCTGTAGTTCATCTAGCGCTGGCTCTCCCATCCAAAGAAAGAGGGGAATCTCGGATGGGGCAGGCAGGAAAGCATGTCTCAGGAAGGGCCAAGGGGAAGCTGGTAAGCCTGATGGAATGTTCTGGAAGGGGGAGGGGGATCCTGGGTCAGGAAGTCTGCCCCTTCAACCACAGTCGGAGAGGGCAAGGTTTAGATAAGAAGGGCCAGCTGTGGTTATTTCCCAGAGGGTGGTCAGAAAGGGAACTGGAGTCGGAGAGGGGTGGCCCTTCAGGGTGGGGGGGCAGTGTTG